TGTGTATTAATATTTAATTATATATATTTAAAGTCAAATTAGTACATTAACTTGTGTCATGTGTCAAGTTTAAGCGTCTGTTTACATTTACTGAACTGATCTAAACTGATTGGAGCTGAAATAAACTGATCTGAAGTGAATAGAGTTGAAATGAATATTTTATGAGAGAAGGAAATTAGAAGTTGAACTGAACTGAATTGAACTGAACTGATTGGAGATGAACTGAATTGAATAGAACTGAACTGATTGGAGCTGAACTGAACTAAACTAAAACTAAGTTGAAGTGAACAGACTCTAACCGTGTAAATTATTTATGGGCGGAAGGATATCATTAATTTTTGCATAAATGTGTGTATATTGTAGTAGTACTCATATATTGACATCTCAAAAATGCCGAAATTATTCCTAAATGTATGAACATGCTAGAAATTATACAATAGTAACATCATTTACCAGAATAGATAATATAGAAACATAACTTTATTTAATCTTCAGCAAGCACATTACATAATATTAATTAGGCTATTTTGTAAATCACGACTGCTCATGAATCATGATATATATAGCTAGATCACACGTACATTAGGTACACATATAGTTCAATTTTTTTAATAGAAAAGCTTAATTAATTATAAAGGCTTATCGCCAATTACGTACATTGCCGGATAATACATGTCACATACTTATACCGGCTTCATTATATTACTTATTGATCATATTATTCATAGTCGCAAATGACTAAAGACACTCTATTCGCACATTGAACACTAGCACATCCAACACGATTGGAGCTAATCCAACTGCCCTGATCATTGTTACTTACCCATGAATGTATTGCTTGTGTGACCGTCATACCAGTACCACTAGAAGCGTCTTCATTATACGGGCCACTCCGAACATTGGCGTTGCAATTACCCGCTCTTTCGCTAGCAACTTGCTGCTGAGCATAGGCTGCCAATTGATTATCCCATTGTATGTTACGGACACCCTTGGCATTCCTAGCAACATTAAAGGCGCTAAGAAAGGCTTGGGGTGAGTTTTGTGCATGGCATACATGCATAAAGGTAGCTAGGGTTAGTGCTATGAGGGGTAATGAAATTGTTGGAAAACTTTTCATCAACTTCATTTTCTTTCTTTTTTGAATGAAATATATTTTTTTTTCTCACACAAAACAAATAAAAGAGAGATAGATCGATGATTGTGGAATTTCTCGATGAATGAATTGGATTTTATAGAGGGAAAAGCAGTTCAATTTTACCACCATACCCTTCAAAAAAACATACCCTTATAATTAAATGCTAATATAATTTGGGACATTTACACTCGAAAACTCCATCCTTACAATTCATTCTAGCCTGTCTATAATTTTATTTTATTTTTTTCATTTTTGAAAATTACCAATAACTACCCATTTTACTCAATAACTATTGATTTGACTTGATATATTAAAAAGATCTAACTACTCTATTACATTATCCAATACGTTTTTTTAAAAACCCCAATATTATAAGGAACATACCCCATGATAAATCTTAAGCACGGTAGTTATTGTTAATTTACAGACGAAGTATTGTAGGAATAATAATAGTTAGTGAATTTATTGTTAAGGATGATGACACAATAATGCAATGATAATAAATTGCTGATGCTAAATATATCAAAATAGTGCGACATAGTTGTTTCAAAAAAATAGTGAGACATGTTGACTTCTCTTGACTTCGGTACGTCGGGAATAAAGGGCTAGAAATTAGTGGTGTGTGTTGAAAAAGTCTTTGCAATGAATTAATTACCCCTCCAAAAAGAACAGTTAAATTCACTCTTCTATTTCTATAAAACTCCGTAAATAATATTTACTCATTCTCAAGGCTATAAAGGACGACTAGAATCTACAACCACAATTTGGCATGTGAGTCGTACTATTTTTGAACTTGCGATGTAAATTTACAATGGCCTGAAATATACAAACAAAATTATGATTTTCGTTTACGTCGTGACTTGCAATTGCCATTAATTTTGGAGTTGGTACAATTTTAACGTAGTCTACTCTACGGTTGATGCAAATAACCTTGATAAATATAAAGATCCTAAGCTAGTGGCCATGGATGGGCAAAGGATGAAGTTGATTTTTTATTTTTATTTTTTGGAAAATCCGTTTTACAAGAACAAGTTACAACAGAGGGGGACCTTCCACCGAGGCCATTCAGGGTCAGACCCCCGTAAGTTATTGTAAATAATTAGTAAATAAAGTTAATTAACCTATATATATTTACTTATAAAATATTGGGGTATAGGATTAGTTTTGAGCAAGTGGTAAAATATTTAAAATCCGGCCCCTCTAATATTTTCAGCCAAGATCCGCCACTAAGTTACAAGTCATAAAACTTACAAGCTATGGTCTTGCACGCTTGATAATTTTTAAATTTATTGACCAATAGGCAATAAGAATAAAATATCTAGTAGTATCTTTGAATAGTACATACGTAATTTAAATAATTTAATAGTACGAGCTTAACAAAAAAAAATGAATTCATATAAAAGAGAGTAATATCTGATAACACGTAAATGACTTCTTAAACATAAAAATTCTTACATGCATCATACTTTCTCTGTTCTTTTTTACTTGACTTGTTTCTTTTATCATGCTTGTCAATGCAAAACTTTTACAATCAATAACTAAATTCTCCATAAGTAAAAATTGTAAAAGCTATATATTATGATAGTACTTATTGAGATGAATCCAAAAAGATCATACATGAATATATTTTTCCTTACATATTTTTCACAAAAGACAGTCAGGTGAATAGTGTAAAAGTCAAAGTGGGTCAAGTAATAAAGAACGGAGGAAGTATATATTAGTGAACCCAAACAATTCAAATCCAAGAGTATTATGATAGAGTATAAAACATATTCTTGGGCCTCAACCATCAACTTAAATTTTTGGTTGAGTTGGTCCTTTAACATGGTATCAGAGCCAACGTGACACAAAGGTCACGGGTTCGAATCTCATCCGCCCATCCTTTAAAGTGGAATTAATTCGCACCAGGTATGGGTGGGCCTGTTAACTTAAGCTTTTGGTTGAGTTGGTCCTTTAACATAATATTCTTCTTATTTAATTTAAATACGGAGTATATTCAAAAGAGCAAAATATATATCCCTATGGTGCTAAACAGTTGCATGAATAGGGATCCCATATATATTACTTTATTTGATATTTTATATAGTATACACGCTTATTGAATTCTCATATATAATTTATTAAGTATAAGTGAATGCCCTATTGAGCATAACACTAGCGAAGTATTATATATGGTGTAACAAGCTAAATGGCTGATCAGACCAAAAACTCTAGCTAGTAGGGTTTTTCTCCATTAAAATTGCCTCGAGGATCATAGTTACAAGTGATGAAAATCCCACCACCGTTACATAGAACCCTAGCACATCCAACACGAACGGAATTACGCCAAACCACTTGAGTATAATGTCCACACATCTCATTTGGAGCACAAGTATTGGAATCATAGTCATAATTAGCCTTCTCATCAACCCACATTTTAACTGCATCTACGCCACTAGCATCACCGGGACCTGCAACGATATTCTCTCCATAAGGCCCCTCGGAATGCTCCAGAGCACAATCGTCCATACGTTGGTTGGCGTATTGTTGGGCGTAGGCCGCCAATTCGTCGTCCCACTCTATGTTTTCGACACCCACCTCGGCCCTAGCCGCATTGTGGGCATCAACATAGTCTTGTGGTGAATTTTGTGCATGACAAAATCCAGCAAAGGCTAGCATTGCTATGATGAAAAATGAAAAGGTTGCAATGGACTTGAGAAAATTCATTTTCTTTTCTTTTCTTTTCTTTTCTTTTCTTTCTTTTTTGTTTGTTTGTTGTTGTTGAATTACACAAATGAAAATAGATAGGCTGTGAAATTTTTGCATAAGATTGAGTGAAATATATAGAGGAAAATTAATTTAAAAAATATTAGCAAGTCGGAGATTAAATATTTACACAATATGGTTTAGCCGGCTTTAGGAAAATCACTAGTGTTTTACATTTTCTAAGGGAAATGGTTGTGCAAATAATTGTATAAAATTAAACATAAAATGAGTCTATCTACCACGTGGTCAATAATCAAAAGCTAATGATATAAAAAAAAAAAAAAAAAAAGAAATTGTATATACGTAACATTTGGTATGTCTACGTAAAAATGTGTTGAAATTTTAGATAGGGACAAACTAGATTGTGCGATTTTTATCCTCCCTTTATCAAGCTAGTGGAACTAAAGTTTAATTTCAAACAACTATACCTAAACTATAAAATTACTATATGTATATATGCATGCATAATAATTCAAAGTTACATTTCTTAATTACAAATGAAAATAATTGTTTCTAGAATCTTGCTAACAAGCGTCCCTGATCTCGAATATTGTTATTGTATGTATATATATATTTTTCTTTGATAATTTCATGTTAGTTCTCTTATCTATCACCTTGAGAATGCTCATTAGTTTTTTGCTTACTTTTAAGCATCAAACCCATCTCTAAAATTAAAGAAACAACTAATCCAATATTGATTTATTGTTTATATTCAATGTAATGCGTGATTCAAATAAGGTGTACACAACCGTGATCAAGCTAGACGCATGGCATAGGGTAGGTAACCATGCCTCAAAGAAACAATAGTATAATTTAATTTATTACATTAGGATCTACAAGTTATGTACGTCAAATTATAAAGAGGATATATAGTTAATTAGTTATGCATAAAACTACACCTAAAATGGCTAAAAGTAATAACAAACATGCATAAAATATATTATATATATTTCATTCGTATTATTATAAATCATGTGTTGAATAATTCAGCCAGCGTACCGGAACAAATTGAATAATACTACTGGTTTCTATTATATCAGCTAACGGCTGCTTGAATATCAATTAATTTAGTACAACTTTACCAAATTTTTGCTAACTCAATCTAGAAGGTGTACGGGAGTTCAAGGTTGGCACATACATAATCAATTCGGAAAACTAAAAAACATGATTGGGATGAAATTGAATAATGTATATTGAAATAAAATTTTCATATTGATACAGTTCCTACTATAACTTCATGAATAAAAACCACTACATACAAACTATCGAAAATATACTCCATATAAATTAAATAAATGTTTCCATTCGCGCTTCTAAAAGATAAAATAAAGATACGTACTAATTTGAGTTTATGACCACAATTGCTCTTATTTGGCTTACTAGCTAGTACGAAGTATTTGTTACATAACAATTAATGGCAAGAAAATTCATAATTTGCACAACATTATTCCATGAAATTTTAATATTTAGGAAGGGAGCACTCCTTAGGAAGATTGCCTTGGAACCTCTTATTATCTTGGCAATAATCATAAAGAAGGTGATATTTCCTCACCCATTTATAAAACCTTCTTTGATTCCAATTTAATGTGTTGAATCTTTCTTTGTTCCACCAATTAGTAGAGCTAACTGCCTTACAAAACCTTGGATTTCCTCCCCAAACACATGCATCAATCTTGTAGTTTATGAAGGAAGCAACAAAGGGTGCCTTCGACCAATCGGTTTTATCCTTCCCTCCTCTTGTTGCCCAATCTTCGCCGTTCCATAAGCTTGTTTTTAGGCTCATTGGTTGTGATCTTGGAAACCCTACTCCTTTATCTGCATGGTTTCTGTAAACCCTAATAGGGACCCAATCCACCATGATCCTGTATGCATTAATTCAACATATATTATTGGTTATATCATAAATTATAAGCTTGGAAAATTGAATAAACAATATTGTATGTATGTATTATTGATATTAGGGCAAATGTAATTATATTATTGAAAGATTATTACTAATATGATGTATGTATTATTGATGTTAATTAGGACGAATAATGTAATTATATTATTGAAAGATTATTACTGAATACTGATATGATGACTTATTAATTTATTAAGACAATGCGAATTGATTGGTAATGATTTTGATTGTTATATGATTGAACGGTGACTTGTTGTGTGTCTTGGTACATAAATTTAGTGCAACGAATTGTGGTTAGGTAATATAGTTAGTTATGCACAATGAATCAAACCAATGCAATTTTTTATGGAAAAAAAAAAAAGGTTGATTAGTGCTTTAACTTTTTAAGTTGATAGATGCACTTTGGTTGTGCAAGTAAATGCATATATGAAGTTTTAATTTTTAAACAACGCTATATCTCATAAACTTCGCTAATTAAGCTAATTGGGATCCACATTTTCTAAAAGAAAAACATGAATTGAAGAGTGGCTTACACAATTTGGTAAACGTTCCAGAGAATAGAATACGTATGGAAGTCTGCTGATGGATCAAACCACAAAGAAATCCTCTCTTCCCTATCGCCGAAGCCATCAGAGTATATGTTTGTTTGAAGCATATAAGGTTGCCCTGTAACATTTCCTAGGAACTCCAAGTCTATCTCGTCTCGATTTGGTGAATTAGACGCAAGCTGTATTGTTGTTGTTTATAACAAAATTTTAGTAAATCTCAAAAATAAACAAGAAGGGAAAAGTACTAAAATTATGAGAAAATTATTGAAAGGAACAAGAAAATTATAATTATAATTCTTACATAATAGGCTACAACAGTGCCTGCTGAATAACCTTGTATTAGCTTAATTTGCATGTCTATTTGCCCGAACAAGAACATATTGTTCGAATCAAAAGAAGCACCTATGAAAAATAATTGCTAGATACAATTATTGGCTACTTCAAATTGAAAATTGGGTTTTGCATGCACAAATAAATAGCATATAATATACGTAGTAGTACAAGTCGTACTTTGTATATGTGATAATAATAAAAATGGACCGTACGTACGTACCTGATTCATGATCAAGTTTTAGGGTTCTTGTCGTGCCGTCAGCTGATGTGTTTACATGATTTGGAGCCCATGAGATGAAGAAATCCTTGTTGAAGTTCCCTGTAGAAACAACAGAAGCAAGAGAAAATGGAAACAAAATCGCGCTAGTAACGAAAACTATTGCAAAGAGTCCATAGTGATAGTTTGTCATGGTGACTCTGAGAATAATATTAGCTTATGAAGGAATAATAAAAAGATTGGTGTGATTATATATAGGTAATGCATGAGGAAAAGAAAGGAATAAAATAGCAGAGGTTTATGGTTTAAGCAAGACATATCTTTTGAAGGAAGTAAAGAAAAGTCTTAAATTAATTCGTTGTCAACTTCTCAATGGATGTACAAGTTTCTTTCGAAAGTTTCTTATGATTTAAACTTGTTACAATGTTGATATGATACTTTAATTTAGCAAAATCACATGACATAATATCAATCATTTTGTTCACTTTAACTACTAGAATCCATTTGATAATAGGTAATCAGATGGGATAGACGGATAGTCTATCAAAGATATATACGTAGTACATAATTGTACTTTATATTCTTTAACTTATATAACAATTAATCTCAATACACATTTAGAGTTTATTCTCGATTTGAAATTTCGAATAACATGATCCTAGACTCCTAGTGAGGGGCTAAGGGTTAGAGGATGGTAGCAATTGACCATTTTTTTCCTTTAAATTCTAAACGAAACAATACACTTTAAGTGTGTAAAGCACAAAATTCATTCACTATGAATAAAAAACAAGTGTGATCAACAATGATAAAATTAAAGAGGTTTTCTCAATAACTTGGTACATGTGCTGACAAAAGCTTGTAGTTTACAGGCTTAATTATGGAATGAAATTGCTTTATGATTCAAACTTTTGTATGCCTATTTTTATTGTCAAATGTATATATAAATATATTATGCCAATCTTTGGCCATACACAAAACCCTTTTTTTTTTTTTTTTTTTTTTTTTAAAATGACATATCACATATTTGTCACATATTTCCTTTCTTTTTTGGAGGGATAATTGAACAACTAACTTAGCTTAAGTCTGTTAACTTGGGCTTCATGTTTCTTTTCAGAGTTTTATGTCGATTCTTTTCTTTTACAATGTCCAGTTTACATAGTTGTAACAAAACCAATGTTACAACTTCCCTAACAAAATTAAAGATCTCGCTCTACTTTACAAAAACAAAATACATACACGTGGGAAAGTGTCACGTGACACGTACTAATCACGCTAAGCTTGATTTGATTGGACGGAAATTTTATTTTATTTTTAAAGAAAACGCAATTAAAGAAAAAAAAAATTAAAGATATTAAGTCATTTTTCCTTGTGAAAAATCGAAAGGAACATTAAAAATGTGAATATGTGGGTTGGGTCGTTGGATTATTGTTTAAATTACAAAATTACTGCTTTGGGCCAAAAGCCCGATAGTTGAAGCCCAGCCTGAAAAAGGCTAAGTATTCTAATGACTTTTATCCATTTGGGCATTATAGGTTTTTTTTTTTTATTCAGAAATTTGTAATATAATCTAGTACTCCGTACTAGAACCAATTCCATTTTCAATAACTAAACTTTTATATCCACTTGTAGTGTAAAATATTTTGGGAGGTTTAAAAAAATATATAATGATCATGTGAACTATAATTAATGGATATAAAGAAAAAATGTTCAAAGGATAATTTTTATTAGGAGATAAAAACTCAAAAGATACCTCTACATTTTTGTAGGGCGAACAACATCAATGATATCAGTTTATCACAAAGGTGAATATTAGGGCTTGTTCTCATTGACTGAACTGAACTGAACTGAAATGAGCTGAACTGAATTGAACTGAACTGAATTGAGCTGAACTGAACTGAAATGAATATTTTATAAGGGAAGGAAATTAGGAGCTGAACTAAATTGAACTGAACTGAACTGAACTGAACTGAGCTGAACTGAACTGAACTGAATTTCAACGTAAGAGAACAGACCCTTAATGACATTTTTCATAATTTATAGAAAACAACTTTCCAAAAGACTCCCTTTAGCCATTTTATCCCCTAAAAATCCAGTTACTTAACCTTACTTTGCCCAAAAATAAGAAAAATGTGATTGGTATATGTATTATGTACGGTTAATTTTATACAACCCTCCAATAATGTTGATGTGATTTAATGGTTGAACCAAAAAAATAAAAAAAAAAATAAAAAAATAAAAATAAATGATGTGACTCTTTGAGTTCATCTAACCATTTGTTCTAGACACAGGACAGCCATTTTGTTGGGACACAAAAATTATTGGTAGTTTTTGCTCTGGACTAGAGTGAAACATAATGCTAGCCAACATTTCACTTTTGAGTCACACTTTCTCAAAATTTACCTACTCGTACTAAAATAATTACGGAGTAACGTTTAGTTTCTATCATAAGTACCACTTTACAACGTATGAATCTATGAATACATATTTTAATCATGTGGGTATGCTTGATTAGTGTGTCTCATTGTGTTGGTCTAAGTCTTTATTCTCTCCAATATTGGCAATATACTTTACAAAACATTATGTTACAAAACATTATGTTCCTACAAGTTAAGCTCAAAAACGATAAGTGTAATTTAGGAAAATAATTCAATCCAAGTGCTAATTCTAATTCACAAACAAAATAAATGTAGTTTAAGTAAAAATAATAAAGGTGAATTTCTAATTCACCTTATTTTACTTATTATGGGATAAATACTTTCAATATAACTAGATGTAAACGATAAGTCCAAATAAACACGAAGTATATAAAAGATAAATTCACTTTGTAAATATAAAATCTCTATCAATAAAAGTCTATCAAGTTCGAGTCTTAGGTTACAAAATATTAATCAATACATATGCTCTCTCGATAAGATTAAGTCGAGTCTATTTTGACACATTTGTTTATTCACGTATATCATATTGATGATCAGTTGATCTGTGTACATTGAAGTAATATAATATCTAATATTCAAAAAACCAAAAAATGTAATACAATAAGATTAAGTCGAGTCTATTTTGACAAATCTGTATATTCACGTATACTATATCGATGATCAATCTACGTACACTAAAGTGGAACCGTGGGATGGATTGTGGGCCGAGTTATTAATCGAATTGAACGAGTCCAACATAAAACTTGAAGGAAAAATAAAAAAGTGTGGAGCCTCCATTAACACTCTTCAACAACAACTCACCTGTGAATGAACGAGTATGAGTGTGTCATCTCTCATCAATAATTAATCTTTCTAACCATTAACTAGAAGAATCCACGTTTTCCCAAATTCAATCTCAAGACTTGTGTCGCCAATTTCAGATCCTTCCTTAATTATTTCTAAATTTCTTTGGGTTTTTCAAAACCCCATCACATCAACTCTACTCTTCACTTCACTCTCTTTTCTTTCTTCTGCTTCTAATTGCATTGCCCAAGCTCTGCTCTTTGCTTCTTTATTAGGTATAATCTCTCTCTTTCTCAGTTTTATTCGTTGATTCAATTCTTAATGTACTTAATTTGCCCTTGTTCTTATTTATTTTGATTTTTTGAATTGGGATTTGGTTTGTTCTTGGTGATTCTTTTCTGGGTTTTAATTGATTGCATGAATTGAGCTGAATTTATGTTTTTTGGCTGATGTTTTGTGTTTTGGTGTTATTTTAGAATAGGGTTTTTCATTTTTTTATGGGTTTGTTAGTGTTCAGTGTAATTTTATTGTTAATCTTTGTGGGTTACTTTAATTGTGAATCTAATGATGGGATTTATCTTTTTTATAAGAAAAGAGATGATGTTATCAGTGTCATTCTGAATTATTTTCTGATATGGGTTAATCTACTTCGTACATACTGATAAATGAATTAATTATGATGTATTATGTATATGCTGATTAATGAGTTAATCATTGTGTACCTGTGGTTGTACTTCTCTTGAGAGCTATTGGACCTTGATACATTAGTGCATACAACCTGTCAAGAATGGAATGTCCTTATCAATCCGCTTTAATTGGCCTATTTGATTTATCGGTGCCAAGTGCTTGATCGTTTTCCTGGCGAACAGTCGCTATTCATCATCATTTCAACTTTGAATTATTATGGATTAATGGACTTGACCGGATGTTTGAGTAATTCCCTCTTTACTGTTATTTGTGGAGTTTGGATTAGTGAATGGGGTTACTAGTCAAAAACGAATGTCTTTGCAACAGCTCCACCCAGCCCTAGCTATTCCTCTTCGGAGGCTTAAGGAATGGTCTTATATGGACGTTGTTGCATGTTTTGTTTGTTTAAGAGACTGGCTTGGCAAAATGCTCTTCTGTTAGTACCCTTAGACCATAAGTGAAAACAGGTGACTTGGCAGAAGGGGGTATTCTGTTGGCGGTATCCTAGAAGGCATGGATGATTACTGTTCTGCTATCTTCACCCAGTATATGCTAGATGCTTTGTGTTTATGTCAGCTGTTGCTGTTCGTTGATGCTGTTAAAGTTGTTGAATGCTAGGATGGCACTAAATATTTTCTTTTCCCAAGCAACTTTAAACTTCTGTGGTTAATAGCTAGTTTTAAAAAAATTCACAATCACATGTATGTTTTTGTGACTGGCAGGACAGTAACTTCTCCAATCTTCTATTGCCCTGCATTCTTCGTTACTTTGTATAATTGTTACTTTGTATAATTAAGGTCATATATTTAGGCCAGACCACCAAAGCTTTTACTCTATGGGTACCCCGTTACTGAGATATGTGAAGTTGGGAGATAATTGTGCACTATGTAATTTCCATTAAGACCTATGTTTCCCAAAAGACTTGTGTTTGTCCTTGTTATAAAAGATATATTTATGCTAACAAGTTCGACATCATCTTAGGTGCATTCCTGGACAAGGTATTATCTGTATGTTTTGTACTCTAATAGAATGCGTAAAAAAAGGTTTCATCTGTACACGTTTAATTCCACTGTAATACTTGAAGAGGCATTCCGGACTGATTTAGCTGCAACCTGTAATATTGGCACTCCATCCAATCCATACTTGTCTTCTGGAAAATTTAAGGAACCAACCATCTTTGCTACTTCTCACATGTAATCGATCTAATCATCTGAATGCCAGAAGCCATGCAGCTAGCAGTTCTTACTTCAGTCTAGTTGATGTTTTTGCATGATTTTACAGCATGATGAACTTGAGAAACCTATTGTTTGAATGGTTACAGTAATTGGTCTTTGCTGCCATACTTAAACCTTTGTGAATAAATGTCTTGCCTATTTTTATAGGTGGTTTCTTACTGCAGCTGATTATCTAGGACGTCACAATGTTCAAGCAATCTCCTAGTAGGAATAACAGATCGAAAGGAATTAAAGTGAAGCACATCTTGCAAATCTGTGTCTTGCTGGCTGTTTGCATTTGGTTAATTTACCAAGTCAAGCATTCTCATGAGAAAAGGCAGGAATATGAAGTTAAGGATGATAAGGATGTGGTAAAGGTTCAAAGTGATGGTGTGATCCCAAGAATTGGGAGAAGAGATATTCCTAGAATCACGGAGGTAGATACAAATGGTGAAAAACATGAAGAAGATGAAGATGAAAAAGATGGAGAAGAGGAAGATAACAAACATGAAGAGGATGAGTCAGAAATAGAGGATGTCAAAATTGTAGAGAGAGAAGAGGAAAGAGGAGGTGGAGATGATGAAATAGATGAACACGAACCAGAAAAGACGGAGACTGAGTCTGAACATGAAGAGGAAGCTGAAGAAGAAGATAAAGAGAGGGAAGAAAAAGAGGATGTCACCGAAGAAAACCATACTGAAGATGAAGAAAATGATGATGCTCATGAAGTGCAACCTGAAAAGGAAGATAATGAGGAGAACTCTGAAAAGGAGGTTCATATTGAATCTGAAGAACATGGCGATGTTGGTAAAGAAGATCACAGTGAACAAGAGGTCACATCAGATGAGCAGGACCATGATGTAGGGAGAACAAATACTCGTGAAGCCCAAGAAATGCTTTATAGGGCTGATGATGCTTCCAGTGAAGTTGCTCACAATGTTCAATTTGTTAATTCAGAAACTGAGAATGTGACATCGGGTCACGGAAATGAAATGTGGGGAAAGATCAACTTTGGGCAGGAGCATGATAACAAAACCTCTGATAATGCTGAAGAGTTGATCAAACCCGAGGTGCAACCTAGAGATTTTGACACTGGGACTTCTAATGTAACAGTTACTGAACCAAAGAACTATAAAGTCAACTTGACGAAGCCTGATGCTAGCTCACTACAGAACTCAACATTGCCTGAAATCACTAGTAATTCAACTGTTGCTGGTGGTCAACATTCTGCCGCTTTGCTTTCTAATGAAACACAGACAACACTTGATTTTAATGTGTCCCAAAATGGTACCGTGGAATTGCCTGGTGATAAAGAACCAAAATTGCCAGGCAATGTATTGGAACAGGATGTTAAGATCAAACTAGCTACAGATGACAAGAGCCAACAGGAAACGTCAGCAGATGGCAATAAAGCTGAGGATGTAAATACTAATAATGGAGAATCCTTAAGCTTACACAATTCTACATTTTCTACATCCCATGACACTACAAATGATAAGGATACCAAGGAAGCTGCAAAAAATAGCTCTGTAGATAATGAAAATCAGGGTGATAAATCAGATAACAGTGGAGAAGCTGCGTCAGATGAAATTGCTGAGTCTCACTCTGACGAGGTTACAGGCCATATTCAGCATGACCCTATTGATGCTTCTGATACTACTGCCCTTGTGCAGGAAGAGAGAGAATCTAGGACGGATTTGAACACACTGCCTAAAATCAGAAATGAGATTCAGAACACAGAAGAAGTTGTGTCTGAATAATTTGTGCAGATTTTGCAATGTGAGTAATATTTTCCAGTCCCCATATTAAGCTGTAATTTTAGTTTAGTTATGTTCTTTTTTCGCCTACATAAACATGTTAGGTTGTGGTGTTAGTTCTATAATACTTCATATATCGTTTGATCATGTAGAAAACAGTAATCTCAAGTTTGCAGTAATTGTAGGTTAATTTAAATTAATTCAGCTACATCTCTGAATTTATACCCCCATTCCCTGGTTGAAGAAACAAAATCTTGCTTAAATATGCTGTTACAGATTTCAATTCCTGCAACCTGCTGGAAAGAACTAAGCAGTAAGCTCTACTGGGATCTTACATTGTTTGGTTCGTAACCCATTTCAGGTTCATCAGCAGTAAGTAATCCCTCATAATGATATAGATTTAAGATTATACAAATAGGTTATCTTATACTATCGATTGTCAATTTACATGACACATACACCTTCACTAGTACCGCAGCATATATGAACAGGTTGAGGTGATGGACTGAAAGGTGCTCTCTGAATTCTTATTATGCACTTGAGGATTTCTTTTACCTGCATGTAGTAGCATTTAGATATGAGTATAACTACATTGCAAGCCATATAAATATACTTGTATAATGCATACTATACACCTATAGTACCTTGTTTCGTGTTGAATGATGCTGTCTACAAAGTTATCTTTTAATCCATTTGGTTCTTAAACAATTGGGTCTTTCAATTTTCTAACCCCTGTTTTCTGAGTCTTGTCTAAAGATTATGTTTCTACTGATTCTACGCTTTTCGGTCTCGACATTTTGAGATTCAATGTCTTCAATTAGTCTTATAACCCGTTTGGTAGATGATAATAAGTGACTGATGGGATGAGCTTCTATATAATTTTCGTTTTTTTGAATAATTTTTATGTCGGGTTTCATGATTTTACGTGAGTTGTGTATGCAATTCTGCTCTCAAATTTGTGTTATTTTAAAATCCCATTTCCATTCATTATCAATTTATCACACTTTGACACGAAATTTTCCTTACAACATTATTCGCAAACTAAATACTATTACCGCCATTAATTGTTGCCTACCAAACGAGTTGTTAAAGTGTTCGTGTCGATGGTCAAATCCTTAATATTATTTAAACCCTTCTTAACAGGCGTTGAGTCGTGCAATTAGGTTTGTGTACTCGACAAAGGTTTGACCTACCACTTTTTTTTCCTTTAAATGAAAACAGATAAGTAACTTATATCATCTTCAAAAACTTTGACTTGAAAATCAAAGCAACAAAACAAGTGATGAACTACATAATTAACATATCTATAACGATTAAATTAACAGAATTAAATAGTTAAAAATTGACACATTATTGTATAGTTTGCCTTGAGATTCCATTTCATTGCTTTGTTAGTAAAAGAAGAAAGTGAAGAGTGAAGACTTAAGTGTTAATGTTAGGCAACCAAACCCAACTTGACAGAATATTACGGAATAGTTTGATCTACTTACTTTCGTGGCTTGTTGTGGCTACTATTTAGTCAATACATATCATCTTAATAACATATGGTTTAAAAAAAATTACAAAAAAAAAAAAACTTAAAATTAAACTGAAAATGATTGGTCAAAATCATAACTTTTTTTGGATTCTTTTGCTTGACTTTCTTAGCCCATTGAAGCTTCAAACTTACATTCACCATTGGATATTTGGATCAACCAACTACAGAAAATAATTGGCAAATCAAAAGTGAAAATTATTCACAAATTATTGTTGCATAGTTGGGAATTTGGGATGTACAACTTGAATTTTCAATATTGAAATGAGCACTTTTCTGACTTTCACGGAAATTTAATAATGTCAATTTTGTACTTGTAGAATGATAATACGTTGTAGTAATTTTTTTTATATGTGTTCTATTAGCCAACTAGTTTAGTTCAAGTAATTGAAAGTACTTAAAAATGCCTTCACATACTCCGCGAGTTGGTTAATGCTTGAGATTTGAAGGCTTGAAGAGCAAATCATTTCTTATGCTTCCGTTGTACATCATGATAACATTATATATCATCTAGTGAAATGCACACGAAGCTTGCAACAAATAAGAACAATATATAAATAAAAGATTTAGCCTCTAGTAATCTACTAATCTATGTTATCTAACTATGAGAAACTCTTAGGAAGCCGAGTACCTATAAATTGTAGCCTTACTTTTAGCAAACATTTGTATTATAAGAGGCCATAGTTTGTTCTCTATATTAGCACCATACCTATGTGACTTTGTTTAAAATTGCTCAATACTTGTCTCTTTTTGGACCCTCAATTTCTGTACTAATAATACTAATTGTCATAATAAAACCCTTAATTTGGTCACAAAAGAGATGTAGAACGAATTAATTAACCAACATTAGCGAATAACGATGCTTCTCTTCTATTTCCATCTACCAGTTCTTGGTCCAAGAAAGTAGGATGAATCTAACTTCTCCCTATCTATAAAGTCAATAAAGAGCTAATCACGCATCAAACACACTCATTAAACAATAATTTTAGTGACTCATCTACTCTAACATGCTTGTAGATAAGCACGTATTGCGTGTACCCTAATGAATACTTAAGCGTACTTGCTCTAAGCGTTTTATTATGTGGCAGGTCAAGAGGGTGTAATTTTACATTCTAGTGTCGATGAAAGTGGTTATTAAGTACTTAATCAACTATGTTAAGTAGCTAAAATCTTGTATGAGACATATCTTATGTTATGCAACAACAAGTTGACTAGCTTATTGGTTTTATCACTTTTGTTACAAGACAACAATATAACACTAGGCTTATTAGATTGAGTATGAGCCCGTGAGGCATGAGGTAGACACGACACGACACGACATGTTATTTACTGTGTTGTCGTCACAACAAGACACGTTATAGATTACAATTTAGGCATGCAAACATGACACAGTGACACATGGACTTATAAACTTAGACCGGCTAATTGAAAATTCATAATGACATGACAAGTATTAAGTAGGATGGGTCACGGGAGTCTAGCCAGGCCAAAGCACGCGCCTACAATTTAGGCATACAAACATGACACATAGACTTATATACTTAGGTGTCGTTTGGTTGCTATGGGAAATTACTTCCCATAGGAATTTGTATTTCATGGGAATTAAATTCCTACATTTAAATCATGGAATTTTATAAAGTTGTTTGATTGGCATGAGGAAAGTTGCAAATCATGGGAAGTTTGACTTACCTAAGGGGGGGTTAGGTAATTAACTTCCCATATTTTGTGAGAAGTCACAATTCCCATGAATTTGCAATTCCCTCATTTACACTTTTTATTGTCAACCAAACAACTCATGCATTTTCAAATTCCCATGATTTTCCATTTTCCCATTTTATTTGTTTAACCAAACAACCCCTTAGACAGTTAGACGGGCTAATTGAAAATTCATTATGACATAGTTGGATGAGTCACGGTTCGGGCCTATCTAGCCCCAAATCACACGATTAGGCCGTGCCGACATCCTTCTCTACAAGAAAGCAGTTAATGAAATCAATAAAATAAACCTCTCTCCAATTCTGATTCATGCATAGCTTGTGGCAACTTCAGGAGTCAGGGAAGGCTCAAAAAACAATAGGCCAAGTCATATGAACTGTGAAACTTGAGTATTAAGGGCACTAAAATTAAAAGTATACACGTACAATTATACTCTTTTAATAATACATCCATACTCTAAACTGATAACACCACCCTGTACACGTGGTCCTCTTTTGTTGCACTGTATTTTTATACCTGTATAAATCCAATAATTCAAAAAAATAAAATTAAAATAATTCACATGGTTGGACTATCTCTGAGTTAACTTTGGATGCCATTCTTGGAATTCATTGCTCTGCCAAACTACCTGGACCTCAGTCCTCAGCTGGGACTTTTTTTCAAAAAAAATAAAAAATAAAGTTTTTGCTGGTTTAAGAAAAACTATGTTCTATGATATAATATATTTCTGATATCTTTCCATTTTTTTCTTTGAAACAATCTTCCATGATTTTTTTTAACCATGTTGAGAGGAATAACAGAAGATCTAGCTCATTTTGACCTAGACTAGATAGCATGAAAGTATAAGATTTCAATCAAGGTCAAATTGTTCTGGCCAACAAGTCATAGTTAAACAATGAGATATTTAGTTTGATTTGAGATCAATTTGAGACTTATTTGAATATATTCCCACATTATTTTATTACGGAGTATATAATGAATAAACAATAGTTAAATTTGTTTTAAAGTTTTGTCATATCAAATCTTATAAATTCGAATACACTTTAATTGTGAATCAAATGATTGTAATGACTAATTGTTTCATGTTTAATTGTTTATGTATCAATGATACGTGGACAAATTTCTCAAGTTCCTACTATTAATGAAACTTAACACTATGTTGATTATGATATTCGTTACTATTAAATTCTATAGGACAATTCCACAATTCTAATTGCTCAAGTAATTGTTTTGGATTTTCTCACAACTTGTAATTGATACTTTTCTACTTTTTTTGACACATAGAAATAATTCAAATAAAAACACAACAATATAGCCAAGAAAAGAAAGAATGGACCAAAAAAATTTCCTACTTTTAATTTTTTGCAATTTTGCACTCATCAAATAAGATGCTAAAAAAATTGGGTAACACTTCCACTGTACATCCAAAAGAAAAATAAAAAAAGCCGTTACCAATAAAAAAATCAAACCATCTCATTTGCAATGAAAACGACAAAGCTAATTGAATCAAATGACAAAATCTCCACTCTGTTGTTGCCTTAGCTCTTTCCTTAGCTTCTGAGAGAAGGGCCTACATGCGTCCATGCTTAGATCCATTGCAGCGGCTAAGGCCACAAATGCGGCTGCATCCTCCCTGCATGTCACATGCTGGGCCCCAACTTCCACTACTGGCTTATTCCCTTTTCCTTCCCCTCTTACTGTTGATGACATCACAAACCCCTTGTACATTAGCCCGGGCCACCAGCCCGACCCGGGTATTTCTGACCCGGATGACGATGCTGAGCCCGACCCGGTCCATGATCCGAAGTCGATGCTGCTGTTTGGGCTGCTAGCGAGGGACGGTCCGGTGGTTACATCGATGTTGAACTTACCCCCGGGCCGGACCGGGATTGATGATTGGGCCATGGTGACCCCGGCGGGTCCCATGGCATCGGGGAGGAGCTCAAAACGATGCCCGAGCCCTTCCGACCCGAGGCCTGTGCGTTCTCGCCAGGCCTCGAGTCGGCCCCAGGGCTTCCATGTTTGGTCCCCCGGGCGCAGGATGAGCCATGCGCCCGGATTAGACTTGCTAACCTTGTCCGACCCGTGTGATGGGACGAAAGGGGTTACCATCGAGGCTGCTGCAACTGGGGACCCTGAAAGATCATGTACTGTTATGGACCATCCTTTGCGCTCTTTCACATGGTTTTGGTGCTGATGATCCCTGTCAGCTTTGAGTGTGCTTAGCCAACTTCTTGACGTGCTTGGTTCTGATATTGCTGAGCTGTTTTAAGAATGGACCAAATTCATAATCAGCACCAAATTTCAACCGACTGAAAATTCTGATATAATGATAATAATATAAAATTTTTGAAAGACTCGATTCAAAAAATATTCATCATATCAAAATCAAGAATTTATGAGGTGGTCCAACGCAATATTAGCTGTAAGCCTGTAAGTGATTACGATGTGTGCAATTGGTAATTACACCATATAATCGTATATGCCGTGAAATTTTTTCCTAAAACACGCCTTAAGACTTGGACTTTGTTCTTGTACTACGTATTATACACAATTCAACCAAACAACCTCAATTTTGGTTTTCAATTCCTTTCAAAATTTATCAATTAAATACTTATTTTTCGCTACTTAATCATACTAATACTCTTAGATCATTAAACAATAAATAAATTAGTAAGCGTCGATCTCAAAACATACATAAATTGTTTTTAGCAATGCTCGTACATAAAGATTATAGAACATCTTTGAATTTAATTACATTTTTATAGCAAAGTGACATTTAAGGGAAGATGTAACAAAATTGACCAAAATCACATAATTGACCAAAATCATAAAAATTACCATAATCATGATTAAAACACAATTAAAGCAGAAAAGTTGAATAAAAATAAAGAAGGAAAGAAATAACAACTGACCTTGATCTCATATTATGATCACCATGCCTAAAACTGAACTTGCAAGTAAAAACAGGCTGTCTAATATTCCCTTGGACTTGAAATACTTGTGGACTACAACCGGGTTCGCTATCGAATTCGAATACAAATCTCGGGTCGGGTTGAGCTTTAACACTCAAATAAAGTTGCGGGTTCAAACCCTTCTTCTTTTTCTCCCCTATTAAAACCCACCCGTTTTGCATCATTGTACTCGTTTTTCCTTCCATGATATGTTGACTTAACTCCAACGGTATCGAAGCAGACCCGAGTAATTTTCCGGATGATCCAAACCCGCACCCATTAGCCGATGAGTTGGTAGTATACACTTTCATCTTAAGAGTAAGTCTGCTACTACTGCTGCTGCTGCTACTGCCACTTTTCCTCGAAGTCGAGGTCGTAGAAGTCGAACTCGACTTAGCGAGGGTTTCCAAATCTGATTTAGTCAGATTGAAGCAGGCCGACACGGTCTGGAGTTGTCCCTCGGGATGAATAGCATCCCGAGGAATCAAAGGGACCGTGGCGGCCTGCTCGGGGAAACCCTTGAGCTTTATCTTACAATAACAGGAGGAGGACTCGTCGGAGTCGGGTTGAATACCCGACGATGACTTGATCGCTAAGTTCCCGATGACTATTCGAAGGAACTGGCAAGGATCCATTTTCTTTTTCTTCCCAAATTTTCTGTCGAATTGCATTAGGTGTGAAGAGAGAAGAGGAAGATGAAAAAGGAGGTTTATATTTGTAGTGGGGATGGATAGAGAGGTAGGAAGAAAGAAAGGATTATTATTATTATGATGATGGAAGAAAACAGGCTGTAATTAAGTGGAGATTGGATTACAAAGAGGACGAATAATAATTAAGGAAATATAAAATGTTATTTTTTTTTTTTAAAAAAAAAAAAAGGAAAGAAAGCGTGGGTGAGGAGAGAGAAATATGAGCTGTGGATGGAGAGGGTGGGAGTGGTGGCCAGTGCGCACGTACGCTAAAAAATAAGGGATGCCAGCAAATTTACAATTTTTTGTATTTTGCCACCAATCAATTAAACACCTCTGTCATCTTCTAACTAATTATTATCTAGTTTTTGATTTTTGGACCCACTTAACCTTGTAATTATAATAATGCGAACAAGTACTTCCAAATACAACATAAAATGAAGTGTGTACTTTTTCTCAAAAATGGAGGAAAATTGTTGTTTTTTTTTAAATACAAAAAGAAAATGAAAGGAACTTGTAGATGAAAGCAAGAAAGAAAGAAGGAAGAAAAACTTTTTTTAAAAAAAAAGGAGGAAGAAAAACTTAAAACTATTGATGGGAGATGTGAATTTCATTCTGTTTGATGTGTTTTTATAGGAGTCATTAGTCTGGTAATAATAATTATGAAAAGTTAGAATTGGTAAGATATAGGTTAAAGAAGATTTTAGCAGATACGACATTGTAATTTTTGGAAATAAATTAAATGTTTCATATATCATGACGATCTCATTCACATTTGACATCATTCACAATTCAGCAAAATTAATTTCAGTTCAGTAAAAATATTTTTAAGTTCAGCTAAAATAATTTAAATTCAGTAAAAATAATTTAAGTTTGTAAAAATAAGGTGAAGTGAACGCGACCTAAATCCTATTCATCATTTAATTTCTATCTTATTATGTTGGAGTAAAAACAAATTATGTTTTGTTGTAGACTTGTAGAAAACATAGCCTTTGAATAAATAGTCCCTTACTGAAATTGAAAACACTTTGATAAACAATTTGGTATCTTGTGCATTCATGTGATCATTAGATTCATTATTACTGATGTTTTATAACAATTACATGCAATCGAAATATTTGAGTACGGCGGGTCTGTTATATTCAGCTTATTTTCAATTCTTTTTAGTTCAGTTCAGCTCCAATAAGTTCAGTTCTTATCTTAAAACTACAAATGAGAGATGTGAATCTCATTCTATTTGATGGGTTTTTATAGGAGTCATCGATATGGTAATAATAATTATGAAAAGTTAAAATTGGTAAGAAATAGGTTAAAGAAGATTTTAGCAGATACGACATTATAATATTTGGAAATAAATCAAATGTTTCACATATCATAACGATCTCATTCACATTTGACCATTTTACTTTTTTCGAAAATTCTAGAAATTCATCTATTATTTTTATACTTCACACTAATTTAATTAAGTACATATTGGTAGTCATTATATCGTGGGCTCGTTAATATGGGCTTCATATTAGGTTTCTCATTATCTGCACTATTTGCGCTTTATTGGGCAAAAATATTCTAGTAAGCCTTGGTTGTGTTCACTTCACCTTTTTTTTTACAAGACTTATTCACTTCACTTTAAAAAACAATATTAAGTAAAAATGATTTCAATTTAGTAAAAATGAATTCAATTCAGTAAAAATAAGTTCAGTTCAGGAAAAATAAGTTCAATTAAACAAAAATCATGCAGTAACTCTAAAGAAGAATCATAAAAGAGAATCAGTAAAATAATTTTAGTTCAGCAAAATTAATTTCAATTTAGCTAAAATAATTTAAGTTCAGTAAAATTAAATTCAGTTCAGCAAAAATAAGGTGGAGTGAACGCGGCCTAAATCCTATTCATTCCTATCTTATTATGTTGGAATAAAAACAAATTATGTTTTGTTGTAGAAAACCTAGACTTTGAATAAATAGTCCCTTAATGAAATAAAAAACACTTTGATAAACAATTTGGTATCTTGTGCATTCATGTGACCATTAGATTCACAATTACTGATGTTTTATATCACTTGCATGCAATCGAAATATTTAAGTACGTACGTGATATGTTATATGGTTTGACAAACTTACATTATGTGTTATGCATAACACGTGTTGGTATATTAAGATGGATCGGAAGCAAGCTGAGCTTCTTTCTTGTTTACTTTCTCCACAATGCTTTCCTATTTGTGATTTGTTTCAATTGTTGATCTTGATTCTGTTATTTTTATTTTTAATAAAAATCACCTCCTATGTACCTAAATCCTTGATAATAAATATACTATTTGAGGCAAGACTTAAAAGTGAGGAATCTTTAAGCTATAGATCAATCTCATTCCATTTTTAGGGGATTGTCGTCAGTGGGGCTAAACACAGGTATGAAGTTGGTGTGACAACGAGGAATTTGTCGAATTGCAACTGGTCAGAGCATTGCCAACAAAATATAAATTGTGATCATGGACTATTAATTTAATTTTGTTATTCTTATTTTAAATTTTTAATGTTTGATACAGCTTTGGCCTAATAATCTACTATTAAAGATTTTAATATTCTATTAAACAGACAATAGCCCAGTAAATAAGGGTGTGGTTAAGCTATGTTATGTTCATGTTATTAGGAACTTACTACATCACTTGTCTTTATTTGAATCAGAACAAAAAGTTTGGATAGATTAGATGTAAATCATGTAATGATATTTTTAATTTTTTATTTCTTTCCTTTATTATTATAACTTAAAAGTGATCTAAAATTTTGTTTTAGGATTTGTTCACATTTATTGAACTGAACTGGACTGAATTAAATTGAATTGAATTGAGCTGAAATGAATATTTTATTAGAGACGGAAATTAGGAGCTGAACTGAACTGATTGTAGCTAAACTGAAATGATTGGAGCTGAACTGAACTGAAATTTAGTAAACGTGAACAGACCCTTAATAAATACTTCGTATTGATAGTAAACTCCATATTGTAAATACTAGCACACGCATGAAACATGATCAATGTTAAGTCAATCTGGCTAAGGGGTAAAATAACATCAAACTAAAGCAGATTACCAAGCTTGAGTGAAGAGAAAATAGAGTTTCATAATAAAATTAAGGGTAATGCTAGATTGCTAGGGCTGTAAACTAATAATCCCACCTTTAGTCGGTCTTCCACTAACAATCCCACTTTTTGAAATTCCAGAAATAATCCCACCTTTTGCCCCTATCTTCCATTAACAATCCCTGACCGGTTGGATTGATCTGGTAACCGATTTTCTTAAGTTAAAAGACACGTGTAGGTTTTTAATAGGTTTAGTCCGATTTTTAATAATTAAAAAAAACAAATCTAATTAAAAAAAATTAAAGAAGAAAACCCCCAGCCCCGCCACTAGCCCAGCCTGCCACTGCACTCCTCTCCCCATCCCCGCCCTTGCATTCTCCGGCAACCACCACCCTGAAAACACCACCAGTCGCACACCCCTTCCACAACCATCAATTTCGCACAATCCCGGAGTTCAACGATGATGTAATTCGAACACACGGAGTTTTGAGATTTTTCGTGGGGGTGGGATTTCGTCGGGGTGGTACTTGGGTTTTGTGGGGCTGTAGGCGTGGGTTTTGTGGGGGTGGTGGGTTTTGTATAGGTGGGTTTCATGGGGTGGTTTTTATGGAGTTTTTCAGGCTAAGGGTTGAGTTTTTAGGGCCAAGAGGAGTTATTTGGGGATGTGGGTGGTGTTTTCGAGGTTATCATTGGTGTTTTTGGGGCTGTGGGCGGTGTTTTCGGGGGTGTTAGTGGTTTTGGGGGCTGTGGATGGTGTTTATTTTGGAGCTGTCAGTGGTGTTTTCGAGGTTGTGGGTGTTTTCGGGGCTGTGGATGGTGTTTTTGGGGTTGTGGGTGGTGTTTTCGGGGTTGTGGGTGGTGTTTTCGGGGGCTTTCGATGGTGTTTTTGGGGCTGTGGATGGTGTTTTCGGGGGCAGTCAGTGGTGTTTTCGAGGTTGTGGGTGGTGTAATTTGAGTGAGGCTCGGGTTTTGGGGGTGGTGATGGTATTTCGGCGTGGTTGGGGGTTTCGTAGTGGCCTAATGGATGGAGGTGGCGGTAGTGGGTGAGGGTTGGGGTGACCACGGTGGTGGCTGGTGGTCGTAGAAGAGATTAAGTTTTAAAAATAAAGGGAATTTTTTTTAACCTGTTTAACAGGTTGTAGGTCAAAGGGACTGTTAGTGGAAGATCCCTATCAAAGGTGGGATTATTTCTGGAATTTCAAAAGGTGGGATTGTTTGTGGAAGACCGACTAAAGGTGGGATTATTAGTTTACATTATTCCTATAAGCATGCATTTAGTATCCTTCCTTTTTAAGTATTAAGTTGGGAATTTATCGACAATGCACGAGTAAATCGGTTTAATAAATGGTTATTTATTGTTAATTCTTTCCACTTTTAGCTTCTTATATGTGGCCCTAAGGGCTGCATATATCTTTTTCCTAAAATTAATTATATAAGTTGCTACTGTATAATTAAGATTATATTAACTCTGCCCTATCCAAAGTTGGCTACAATTAGTTAAACTATTTAATAAACCTTAATGTCATCGTTATTAATGCCATAAAACCCATGTTAATTAGTGATCAAACAAAATAAAGGGTTACCATTGAGAAACTACAATTTTTTTTACTAGCTTGCTAACAAATGTGAGATGCAAAATTAGAGGGTTATTGAAAATTCTCTTTATTAAATTTCCTATGTGAAATTTATTCCTTCTAAATTACATTTCCAACCTGTTTTCACATAATTAACATTGTGAATAATGAAATCATTGCTTTCTAATTTATTTATTTATTTATCAAGCTAGTGTTTTTATTTATTTATTTTTTATTTTGTGCCTTTCTAATATATTAAGTGTAACATGCATTATCTAGATTCTAGCTTTATGTTTTATAAGATTGTTATGTTTGATATAGTAGATTTACATATCAACAACATATTTCGTGAATCAAAGTAAGTATACTATCTACTTATTGTTGGACATTTTTATCCTATATATTCAAAATTCGATGGTGATTGTTGAAATACTAAATTTTATAAAGTACTCCGTATATGTTAAGTATATCTTATTCCCTATCATAGAAAATTGGTTATGGAAAAGTCTTATAATTTAATTGATGAAGATCACCATAAGATAACATATACAATGTATATCAATACATTTTCTTTTATTGAAGTACATCGTATATCAATACATTTTGACATATTCCACAAAAGATAAGGTATATAACTTACTAATATGATTTATCAAAATAAATTCTAAATAAAGTTTGACAAAATTTTCATTTTAGACTAAGCTTACAGTGGACAAGTTGACCCTTGACAAATGTCAGTCTAATTGGAATTACCTGTATTTTGGCTGCCAAAAATTCTATCAAAAAAGATAGAATATTCTACAAAAACAAACAAGTTTTATTGGTTTAAAATCAACCTATCTAGGGAGGATTTGAAATTATTTGTAAATCAAATTTCTAAATAGAATATGGTATAAACATGTGATTAATTAATTAGTTATAATTGTGGTTGAAGTTTTCTTTTTTTTTTTTTTTTTTTAATGTAAGCTTTTGAGATAGTTAAATTAAGCAAGATTATGATTATACATTTATACCCACCATAATCATGTCTAAATCATGACAGCTAAAACCCACTTAGCTTTATCTTCCACTAGTTTACAATGATAAGAATACTTCTCCGTCTCTTAGCTGACGTTTTCTGTTTATTATCATTCTCAGAATATTTCTAAATTTTGTTTAAACACTTAAACATTGACATTCATGCATCTTCTTCTAAAAAGACCTAAAAAACAAAGGGTTTGACTATATTAATTTTGCTAATTAGGTTTCAAGGACAATCATATAATATTTTAAAATTTAATTCAATTTGTTTGAAACTACCTAATACAAATTTGAAGGTTTTTAATAAATATGTAGATGTGTGTTACTAGCTCGCTTTGAGAATCATTTTTGATTTTTAGCTACTCTCTCCATCTTTTTTTTTTGGTGTTTAGAGAGCCACAAGGGCGGGGGTGAGAATCGATCCCAGAATCTCCTGGAGTCGGGAGGGAAGCTCTAACCACTTGAGCTATTCCTCACTCTCTTGCTACTCTCTCCATCTTTAAATCATTAATCTGTAGCATGTCTAATTTTTGTTTTTAATATAAATTTGACCATCGGTTATCAAAAATGTATAAAAACAAATGTTATCATAAAATACTTTCTATACTGTTATTAAGGGGGTATAAATATAAAGTTTCATAATGTCAAATTATTTTTCTTTTACTAATATTTAATTAAATATATGTAGGTTAAATTAGTATATTGGTAATTTGATATGTGTGTCAAGGTTAAGTTTAACGATATCGATTATTTAAAAACACAAGAGTATTAGATTAAAAGATTCAACAAAATAGAGAGTGGATTGGATCATCGGATATCCGATTTGAAGGCTAGAGTAACGCTGAAAGGAACACACTGGACTTGATGGACAGCGAAAGGCCCACATTTCCAAAATTTGATGGATCCAACTTACTAAGCTAAAGGCCCAACTTCCAAATTTTTTTTATTTTTTAGGGGGGATTTCTATACAGTAAGGGTCTATTCTATTAGCTTATTTTTAGTTTAGTTTAATTCATAATATCCTTCTCTCATAAAATATTCAGCTCAATTCAATTCAATTAAGCTCCAATCAGTTCAGTTCAGTACAGTAAATCAGAACATACCCTAATCCTCTTAAATTCACACTTCTACTACGTGCCCCAACATATATTACTTTCTACACTGTAACCTATAATACAATTTTTCTTCCACACGGTACCTTGCCGTTATCCCACCATTAATAAATTCCGTTAGTTGGGTTCACTCTCTATTTATTATTACTTTTTATCGATTTACGCGTTGGAATATGTTTTAAAAAGATTTTGAGGGCTATTTTGGTCCTTAAGATTTCAAATTGAGCTCAGATTTGTCAAAAAAATAATGTAAATGTATCGTTTTGCTATTAGGAAATGGCTCGATTTATGTGTTCACAATTAAAAAATTATACGTAACTTTGTATTTTCTGACTCCATTATTTTTTATGCATGTTTGTGAGACATTAAAAAATTATTTGTTGCAATTTTAAAGAAATGGAGATACTTAAAAATACGGAGTACTCTGTATGTGTCCATATTTTTTTGGATGGCCAGGGCTAGTGCTGGTAGTGGTGGTACTCTCATTGCTTTCACTGCCTTGCTGTATGTCTATGTTCTAAAATCTTGTCTCTTTAACTATTCGCTTCGTAGTTTCACTAAACACCTCTAAGTCTCTAACTTTGTATTGAGTATTGGCGTATATATTGCTACGTATGTATGTATTTTGTTGATTGATTATGTTGATGTTCTTAGGAGAAGCAATCTCTCATATCTGACCAACCTTGAACTCGGATCAAACTTGTGTGATTATGGCCTTCAAAGAGGTTTTTTTTTTTTTTACTTTTCAAAATGATACATACATTGCTATAGTGTATGATGCAACATACATTTACACAACCAGTGTGTCCAGTAGTTTATTGTTTGTATGCTAGAAAAGTTCTTTGCTCTTTGTAAACGTCAATTTTTAGGACAAAATTGATCTCATGGATAGCTCTAACCAAATGAGATATTCCTTACTCTAGTCTATGACATATTCATCATAATATGCTTTAATTTATACATTAATTTATTACTCATGTACTCTGTAAGTTAGTTACCACACTCCTCAAATAAAATTACAACATTCTCAAAAGGTTGTTGAAAAGATATGTGATCCACGTCAACTCTATGCTTTTAATTTACTAAGTATATTCATTATAAATTGAGGAAAAATATTCTTCTAGTAACAATATTATTAATATAATTGGCAACAATCATAATGCGTGACTTGGAAAAATTATTGCCCTAATTTAATTAACCTTTCCCTTTATGCAATGAATTATAATTCCTCCCTCTCCAAAATAAAAAGATATAATACGTATTTTATTAACTTTTGAAATGATAAGCTAGACGAATAGAATTATATACGTACGGGTTTCTATGTTAGCTCTCTTCTCGAGGGATATACGTACCTAAGGTAATATTTATAATTTTGTATCAACCATGCTATAAATTGTCGTTAACATATACAAACTACACGAGAAATAATATTTAATACACAATACAAACTTGCAAGTCGCAACTAATAATTATCCTATGTTGCAACTTATAACAATGAACGTGTTTTAATCAATCTTTTTTTTCTTTTTTTTTTTTTTTTTTTTTTGACAACAGCAATCTTATTATGTTATTCATATGAATCGGATATGACCAGAAAGATATGCCAGCTAACAGGCAATCCACGTCAGCACTACTGAGTATTCAGTATAAATTGAGAAAGATTATTGTTCTATTAACAGTATTATTAATATAATTGGCAACAATAATATTGCGTGACTTGGAAAAACCATTGCCCTAATTTAATTAAACTTTCCTTTATGAAATATATTTACGAGTATTCTATTACATACTTGTACCAAATCTTATATTTCCTAATTTATTTACCGCGTTAAACGGGAGTCTTAGCTTGTCCTCTAAGCACACAAATCTTATAAATACAAGCTTATGCTACGTTTTTAATTTTATTCAACACTTGTATTAATTGTTTGTTATTGATTTTATTAGCAAAACTATGTCAATGGTGGAAGAAAATCAAGTGAGATCAAAGCCACAAGGCAAAAGAAAAATCGCAATTGCGAAAATAGAAAACAAAGCAAGGAAACAAGTTGCGTTCTCGAAACGAAGGAAGGGTGTTTTTAAGAAGGCTAGTGAATTATGCACCTTATGTAACGCAGAAATCGCGGTCCTTACGTTCTCTGAAGCGGGTAAAGTCTTTACCTTTGGCCATCCAAGTGCGGATGAAGTGATCAATAGGTACATTAATAGTTCAACGTCGTCGCCTTTGTCGTTGTCGTTGGACTCGTCAAGTGTTACAAACGAGCATGTAGGCAAAGAGAAGTTGTCGCACGCTGCAACGTGTAGTGACGAGAAAGACTTGAGTTGGTGGCAAAAGCCTGTTGAAGGGTTAGGGTTGGAAGAACTTGAGAAATTTATGAATTCTTTGATTGAATTAAGGATTAATGTTGCATCTAAAATTGGTAATTGTTGGAGTAACAATAATAATGTTGGTTCTTCGGCAAATACTCCAAAGTCTGGCTTAGATCTTAACGAGGCATACAATCCAAAGACCAATGGAGCTGATGAGTAGTTTGGAAAGAAATTTAAGATTCAATTTCGTTACATAAGCGTATTTTTAGTTTGATTTTATTTTCTTTTCGTTTTCATATTTGATTGATTAATAGCATGTTCAAAGTTGTGATTTTACAGACCTTCCAAAATTTGGGGTTTTCATATATGTGACTTATTGATTGATTTTTCTTTTTTTTAGTTTTTGTGTTTAGAATCTCATATATAAAAACGAGTTATGAGAATCGATTTCAATATTTCTTAGAATCAGGGAAGCTCTAACCACTCAGGCTATTCCTCCCATCATTGATTAATTTATTTGAGATAGGAAATTCTAACTATAATTTAGAAGTTTTTGTTTATTGTTATTAATGCTTCGTATTTGACTATCTACTAAGTAAAATCAAGGTAAGAAGTTAATTTTATACTTTGGACTTTTATAATCTAAGCCCAAATCCAGTAAGTCAATTCCCTAATTATGGCCCACAAGATCCATGGCTTTATAAAGATTTTAAAAAGTGAAAATATGTCCTTTGATTTGCATGATAAGGCACTTCACCATCAAATACAGTAGTACTTCACCTTGGAATCAAACCCACGACGTACTTGTATGCTATTCATGGCTTTACGTGTAGAGTTCATTGACAATTTGTACGAATTACAATGAATTAATTGCTCAAGTAATTTGAAAAAATATCATGAAAATTTTGTTTTAAAATAATTATTCATACGACGTGTATAATACTACGGAGTATCATATAGTGTATAAAAGGCGATATAATTAAAAGTTAAAATAGAAAAAGCACGTTTTTCTCTCGGTATATTAGAGTTGAATTAAATTTTCTTTGCTAATATTGAATTTAGAATGCATGACTTATTTAGAAAGTAACACTATTATAATCTACTTTTTAACACTTCCGACTAATTTTTACCCCGACTAATTTCGCAACTGCCTTAATAGCTCACAATATAATTAAGGAAATTAAATAAAGCCGAATTGACATGATAACTCCCCAATTCACAACACTATGAGTAAATGAATTTGTCCTTGAAAGAGTCTGCAACAGGGTAAAGTGGTAAACTAATAATCTACATATATAAATACAGCTACTTTTTGTCCAATTGAATCACATTTAGCATGATAATATGTTAAACTCTTAAATCCCAAAAAAAGAAAAAAAAATGCATAAATAAAAGGGTAGAAGAATTTATTAAAAGGCAATAAATGATAGTTTGGTGTATACAGTAAAAGATGTTGATTGATCACTTCTACTACTTCAATAGTACATTATTCATCCGAGGAGACATATATAAAATTGATCATCTTCCTATATTTTCATATTTGTATACAATTATTTTTATCAAAATAAAAAATCTTTAAAAGTCTCAAATTTGCACTCAAGAGCATTCCCTTTGTCCCTCTTTCATTTTCTCTAAGGTCACCTTTCAAACTATTTATTTATAAATAAAATGGTCCCGCCCTTTTAAACTCAACCCTATGACCTAAACCCATATATACGGCCTTTAACCTCTTATGGCTTGACTAAATCATTTTTCTCTTGCTTATCTTTCGTTTTCGCGATTATTACATATTCCCAACAACAAAACATATAATCAATAACGAGTACGAGTTGAGCAAGGAAGATGAGGGTAGGTTTGTTATTGCTTCTTGTTCTACTCTTGCTTCTTACTCATGATACGGGTGTTCTTGTGTCGGCGGCTGGTTCCATTATTTTTTCTAGTGAAATTAGTGTTGATCATCGTTCCGAAAACAAGTTCAAGTCCAATTCCGAGTCTAAGGAAGATGATGTTGTAATAGATGGTGATTTTGTTGGAAATGTTACGGGTTTGGATGATAAACGGCTTGTTCCAACTGGCTCAAATCCATTGCATAATAGGTAATTTAAGATATGATTTTAGGGCATGTAACAAGGCATATTATATTGTTTAATATGAGTGTTGTTCATTTTTATTTCATTGTTGTAGAAATGTTTTGAGGTTTTTAACTTAATTAGTTGTATTTTTTTTTTTTTTTTTTGAATTGTTAGTTGTATTTAGCTCAATTAGTGAAGTATTTTTTTTTTTGTTTTTTTTTTTTGTTTTTTTTTTTTGTGGGTGTTGCTAATTTGCTATATATGAAGCTGAAAGTTTTATGTATGATGATCATCATTCTTTAAAGTTTTATATATGATTATCATCATTCATTAGATCTCTATTCTTTCTTCAATTCCTTTATTTTGCTAATTTCTTTCTTCAATTCCTTTATTTGAGGGATCTTGTCATTTATATGATCATATTGAGTTTTCCATGCCACATGATTGGATTTTTCGGAATATTATTGAAATATGGGATTGAATAATTTTGCTCATCTCTGAGATGGGGTTATCATGACTATATCGGTTTTTGTGTGTAAGAATCAAATAGTTTTATTTTCCTTTGCTAATAACTTGTTAAATTCATACATTAGCATACCAGCCTTAGATTAATTGTTCCTGAAATGTATATTATTGGTTGTTCAAGCTGAATTCGATCTAAGAATTAAAGATAGTAAGGAAGTAAGAAATCTTCTAGCTAATAAGTTCCCTATTATGCTACTATCATAAGCACTTGAATATGCTACTATTGAATTTAAAGGTGGAGAGCCCTATTTAATTTACAGGACCACTCAACGGATTTTAATTCCAATATTTATTTTAGAAGTACAATGTAACTTGTTGTTTGGAGAATTTTAATTAACCTTCCGTTTTTCATCTACTTTGATTGTTTTATCCTCGTATTTCCATATAGTCAAACTTACCATTGAACAATGTATATTTAATTTGCTCATGCAAAAACCTTCAATCTTGAATCGTAAAATGAGTTGTTAGGAGATACTCTGTACTTGGTATGTTATTACTTGGTATCAGATTACAATTATACCAACATGAACAACCCAATATTAATCCTATTTACATTTTTGAAAATTGAATGAACTGATCGAAATCCAAGACATTTTTGGCATTATGCAAGTTGGAAGAAAGTTTATGTTGTCAACAGTATGAGGCAATTGCATTGATTGTATTATGATGCAAAAGAGGGAAAATAGAGCATTTAATATGAAGGTCAGGGATTCTTGAACAGGGATTTGCTGGTTACTTTATACATGTAATGTATATGATGTTGTACCTACATTTAGTTATTGCACCACAAAGCTGTTACACATTGACCTTGACTTAATTGCCTGACAACTCTCACTTACTTTGAGTCTTCTCTTCTCTTGGCATGCCCAAGAGAAAGTCTTTACTCTTGCCTCTTTTTTCACTCTTGCTATGCTTTTGTGTTGGAATGTGAATTTGTAGTTCTCCAATGTACAACCACATTCCATTTAAGTGTATCAATAAGTTGCGTTATGGGTTCGAATTTTCCCTCCCCTATTTGTAATAGATAATGTCCTCCAGGCTCATTTTGAGTGGATGAATTTTGCGAGGCTTTGATCATTGTTGTAGTAATTTGATTGAATTTTACATTTTTATTTCGTAGTGTAGGGCATTACTATCATTTCTTGAATGTCCGAGATAAACATGATTTATGATGAGTTAGTGTACCTACAAATTTAAAATATCATCATGTTATATACTTATATCTTATGTCAAAGTTAATTGTTTACATTGCATTGTAATAGACTAAAATAAACAATACGTAACTCTCATACATATATACATATGTCAAAAACTCCAATCATAAAGAACATACAAATACTCAAACTTAAAAGTTGATTTACTTGATTGAGATTATAGGAATGTACTTGGAGACTACTATCTTGTCATATACAGTTTGTACAAGATTGTAGATTTGTTGTTAAAGTACATACTTGAGAGTTGAGACTTTAACTAGGTTGTGGTATGGAGGGACCTTTTTTTATTTTTATTTTTAAAAGTAATTCTTACAATTACGGAGTAGTATATAATGATCGAGTTATAATTTAAAAATCCAATTTTCAAAATTCTACCAATCCAATATCATGTTTAAAGACCCTATGATTAACTCAAGCATGTGCTACCTGAGAGGAAACTCGAGTAATGAATAAAATAATGCATTAGTTTAAGAAAAAAAAGGTATAATTCCCCCTCCAATATACTATTACATGTTGCTTTTCTCTTAAATACTCCATCCGTTTCTAAATGTTGTTCCACTTTGACGTTTGTGAGATAAAAACAATTAAAGTAGGAATATCGTTTAAAGAGACGAGTATTACAATTTTTTATTCTACAACGAAGTAATGCATAGATATTAGGTTAATTTTTGTATGGTATATTTTATAGATTTAAAATTGGCAGTCAACAATAATGTGTTGTCACTTTCTAAACCCTTAATGAGGTTAATGTTATGTCTATTGAAGTTTAAAGGTAAGTTCAGAGAGCATAGGGCTAAGCAAGGAGACACACAGAGGTTGAACAAGGGCAACAAACTGCCATGTTTTAAATGATTTATGTATCATTGTGCTACCTGCCTTTAATTTTTCCTCTTTGTAGGCTGCACCAGTTTTATTGGTTTTGTTCTGATCTTGCCAGTGCTTCTTATCATACATTGATACATAAATGATCTTCTTGTTCAGTTTACATGTCCGTTAAAAAAGAAAAGAGGATGTTTACATATTTTTACCCCTTATTTGGTATGATATGTTTGGTATAAGAATGATATTTTATTTATTATATCCCTTGAATACGTTTCTTCAACCCTTTTGAATCAAACATCTCAGGATGTTTCATAGGACACACTTTTATTGAGTTTAGCCCAAGGGTTTTCAGATATTTTGCTTGGAACCAGGCTTCTTGCGCCATGGAATTTATATGTTGTTTGAATTAGCAATGTTGTTTGCACAGTTAATCGATGCTAAGTTAGTTTATGAGAATGAGCATTAAAAGGAGAAGGCATTACTTTTAAAAATGAAATAATATAGAGACAAGCTTGATAAAAAAAAAATACAATCATATAGCTTCAACTCAGCTTGAGGGCTACAGCAAACCAGGTTTGCCATGACAA